GTCATTTATGCCGTCATCACGTGTTGATAGCGCAGGTGAGACCTGAACAGCACACGTTGCTATCTGTGTTTAAACTAAACTCATTTAAGCCTTGCCAGTTTAAATATTAAAGAGCCAGAAAACGTGAACTAGCGCGCGCAGTGAGAAGATCTGTGTGGTCGCTCATCCGAAGCGCGTGAACCAGCGTCTCAGAACGCGCGCAAATATTAAGCTCTCTGTGAATTATTGTGTTTGAATGGACGAATTCACACAAAAATTATGTCAAAATGCCCGTCTTGGTGAGTATCCCAGTGAGTTGAACTAGAGAACCAAATCAGTCCAATTTATAAATGAATCATTGAGTTTAGTTTTATGAAATGGATCAGCAGATTAATTGAAAAGATTAAACTCAAAAGTATGAATCCTTCATGATTCAGACTTTGTTTCTTCTCTCAATTACAAAATTTTCAGCACATAATGACATTAAAGTCAGCATGAAAATAAAATTCATCTATTTTCTAAATGCGTCCTAATGATCTTATTGTGAACAATAATTGATACTTTTTTTGTTGTTGTTTTTTTAAATAAAAATATTGATCTGGTCTTTTCAACAAAGTTATAAAATAACTTGATCTTCAGGTGAAACGACATACTTCTCTCTGGTGTCGTATGCTAGACTTCTTCAATCATTTAGTCTGCATAAACCCTATGGAATTACATTTCTGCCGAAATTCTGCGCGCGAAAGATCATATTTTGAGCGCGCAAAAGTGCGTTTTGCACGCGCGCGAACTGAGTTTTGTGGAGAAACTGTTTGTCTCGCAAAGAAGAAAGAATTTTGAGCGCACGAAAATCAATTTTGCATTTAAAATAAGTTTTTGGATGTGTGCAGACCTTCTCTTTTGCGTGTGCAACGTTTCACTAGCTTGCTCACCTGATGCCCACCCTCTGTGCTCGCTAAATGCCAACAGCTCGCGTGCTCAACACAACCCAGCGTTACAATGTGCCATAATTCCAGCCAATCAGAGACAGAGGCTGCTAAATTCTGATTGGCTGCCTTGACAACCAAATCACAACATTCCTTGCATTACCTCGACAGCAGAAGAGGAAAAATACAGTGCATGCATAATTATTATGCAAGTTGATATTCTGATTATAT